AGATGACCATACAGGCTGCCCTCAGTCATTGTTACAGGATCCGGCCCCACACACAGCAGGTGCTGCACAGACCCCCTGTCTCTTCTGCGCCTCCCTACTGGGTCTGGCTCTGCCCCCTGCCTGTGACTGCAAGTTCTTGAGGACAGACGCTGGCTCCTCAAGAAGAGGCAGTGAGTTGAGGTTTGTCTGACCGTGTCCCTCCCCTGCTCAAAATCCTCAGAGACGAAAACTAAAGTCTAAAACCAGCTTTCAAGACCTTTGGACATCTGATCTTGGTTTGGCAAACTTTTATTCACCCTTTGAAACCCATATCAAATGCCCTCTCCTCCTGAAAGCCTTTCCTGGGCCCTTCTCTGAGTTTTTCCAGCTGTGGGCCCTCCCACTGGCCCAAGCCTGACCCCACAGGCTGGGGTATCCGTGCCTGGCTCTGCCTCCCTCTTCAGAATGTGGCTGTGGGAGCATCACTCCAGGGCTGAGCCTGAGCATAATCCAGCATATCTGTACCCACAGGTCCGCATGTAGACATCACATAGGAGCACGTGTGTGCACGTGTGTGTGTGTGTGTCCCCTTCCCTGTGCTGGGCCCCAGAATGGGCAGCCAGGCCTACTCCCCACAGACCACCCAAGACAGTGGCATCTTTACGAGGCAAGGAGAGTATGCTGAGCAGGGCCTCTTTATGAGGGAGCCCAGCTCGGCTGGAGCTCATTTGTCCCCAGACCCTCAGCCGGGAAGAACTGGGGGTGTGAGCAGCCGGCCTCAGCCTCCACCGTGCTGGCACCAGGCCTCGAGCTCCACCATGTATGTTCAAGCTCCATCTGGGGCAAGCGGGGAGGCCAGGGCCAGGGAGGGCTGAGTCCTGAGTGGGAGCCCCCTTCACCGCCAGCCTCCACGGCAGCCCCACCAGACAGCCTTCGAGGACATACCTGAGGTTTGGCAGCACGCGGCCGGCCTGCCGCCAGAGCTGAGTCAGCAGGAAGGGATTCAGGACTTCCCAGGAAAAGCAGCTGGGACCTTGAGGGCCGCCCCCAGCCCCCGGCCCCAACCCACGCCCACCCCCCCAGGGCCCCAGGAGGGTGGGAGGTGACGTGTGTGCCCGGCTGTAGTCCCGGCGTGCTTGGTGGGACTGAATTTGTGGGGATCACAAGGTGTTAGACTCAGCCCTGACTCTGACAGTCTGGGCATCTGGGGGTCAGTGTAACTCCAAATGTGGGGCAGCATAGGGCAACTGTGGGTGTGTCTATGCTCCACAGCGCACGGGTGCCCTCAGCTGCACGTGTCACCACGTGACCCAGGTGTAGGGAATGCGGCCACCCATGCAGCTGCGAGGGACAGGACAGTGTCCGGTGTGTCCGATGTGTCCAGCATGTCCAGCCACGTGCACCTTGGGGGATGACTGCATGTGGGGCTGCAATTGAGAGGGACAGTATAGCCAAATGTGTGAGAAGAAGGTGGCCCCAGTTGTGTGGGAGGGAGTGTCTGGGGAGGATGGGGACAGGGCATGACGAGGACGATGTGACCTCAGGACTGAGGACGAGGACGTCTGGCTCCATGTGCCACATCTGCAGTGCTGCATGGTGACTGTGACCTGGGCGGGGCAGTGGGTGTTCCTCTGCATCCACCCCAGAATGATGGTGTCTGTTGCTCCCCTCATGCCTGGAGTCTCCTCCCTCCTACCTGCCCAGACCCACCTCCCCAGGCCCTGGGTCTGGTCTCAGCCCCTACCCCGGGAGAGGTCAGGCAGCGGGACATCAGCATTCACCTGGCCTGCTCTTTTTCTGCTGGCCCCCTGCCTGTGTTTCCATCATCGAAGCCCGAGCATTCCCCTTACCTGACTGAAGCCAGGTCACCCCGCCAGGCTGGCTCCAGTCTTCGGGGTCTGAGTCTGGGTCATACCCAACTCCGAGGGCTGATGAGAGAGACAGACGGGGCTGGGGAAGTGGTGGGTGGCCGCGCCAGGTCCACGAGGCCCTGGTGGAGGAGCCAGCAATGTTCAGCCAGGACAGGAGGCAGCCGGGGGAGAGGGGGTGCTGGGCTGCAGGGTTTGGACCCTGCGAGGGCTGCCGCGTGAGAGAGAGCAAACCCCAGTTCCATAAAAGAAATGTTTTCCAACAAGCTGAATCCTGCACCAGCTCCAGGGGAGTCTTTGTTCCAAGAAATGGTGTGACCTTCCTCTCTTCCAGCACCTCCTTCAGCACCCCATGAAAACTCAGGCTCCTTGCTCAGCATTCAAGGCCCTGTTCACCTCCCCTGCATGTCTCTCTTCTTCTGCTGCTGCTGCTCTCCATGCCCTCCCAAGGTGTCCCTCCTCCAGCCTTCACATATACCTTTCCAGCTGCCTGAAATGCCCTTCCTGCCTCGCCCACCTGGTAAACTCCTACACATCCTTCAAGACCCAGCACCTCTGTCTCCTTCTCTGGGAAACATTGCCCTTCCCCTGAGCCCATGGTGTCCCTGTTTGCTGTGTGACTCTGGACAAGTCCCTTCAGCTATGAAATGGGAATTGTGTGTGTGAAAATCACCCTCCCTAAAAGCCTATTTTAAGTCCCAACATCACATACATTACATGACCTTCAAGTGAGTTGGGCCTTGGGGGAGAAGGGAGGGCTTGCATCCGGTCAGTGCTCAATGTGTGTCCATTTTTATCTTCCTCCTCTAGGATTCTGCAGTTTTAAAACTCTTGTTTTAAGCATTGTTCCAAGATTTTTCTCCCACGCGTGGTGCTAGGAATTTTAAGAACCCCTGGTTCTAAAATTATAAAAGTCTAAAATGCTGTGGGTGGGACCAGGGGCCTCCTTGTGCCCTGAGCTGACCCCAGGGTGGCTGAAGCCAGGGTCTCTGGGGATCCTCATGCCCCTCACTGCCCCCAGGTTGAGGGGCTGTGGTCTGACAGCCCCAGTTTGTGGGGAGAGCAATGGATTTACTGAGGGACAAATGGCCAGCGTTCCAGGAGGGAGGGGGCGGCTCTCTTGGCTGCGTGGCTACAGTGGGGTCCCAGGGCAGCGTCAAGAGGCACAGGGCTGTCAGCTCAGGGTGCTGGCTTCCTTCTCTTAGAGCCTCAGTTTCCTCATCTGGATGTTGGGGCCAAACGCTGCCCTCTTGACGAGCTGTCAGCAGGGTCAGGAGGTGCTGAGCCGCTGCCCTGCCTGTGCCAACTGTTTGCTTGGGCTGTGCCCTCTGCCAGGAACGCCCTCCCTGGCCCGCTGCCCCCCAGGAGCCCCTGCTCATTCCTGGCCCGGCCGCAGTAGCTGGGACGGGACTTCAGGATGACGCCCACCCACCTCTGCCCCACCCTAGGGAAGGGGGGCCAGCTGCCCGCCCAAACCCAGCTGCCGAGGCCTGGCAGCAGCCACGGCCCCAACACTTTCTCAATGAAAGGTATTTGGCTATGGGGCCTGACACCTCATCACCCTCCGCCTGGAAGCCAGCTTTGCCCGCCAGCTGTAGGGGGAGGCCCCCCATGCCTGCTGCTCCCCAGGACCCCAGCAGGCAGCCCTGAGTAGGGCTCTGGAGCAGGCAGGCCCGAAGTCCAGGTTGCCTTGGATGGAGAGCTTGCTCCTCTGAGTCTCCCTGTCAGCTGGGGGTGTAGACACAGTATGTTCTGGATAAGTGCACATGCCCTCTGGCTCCCAACGGGCCTCAAAGCAACTCCCCTCTCTTGTCCCTCAGAGCCTCTCCAGGGCGAGGCTGGGGTGCTGGCAGCAGGGTCCTCCCAAACCTTGACTCCAGCAGAGCCTGGGGGCCCACCCTCAGAGACAGGGGCTGATACCCTTGGGTTTGCCAGATTCTTCCTGACCCTCCAGGCCCCCGAGTCCGCCCCCTGGGCAGGGGAAGGTGTACCCATGAAGGGAGTGGCCTGAGCAAAGGCAGGAGGGCTGGCGAGGTTGGGAGTTGTCAGATGGACAAGAGCCAGTGGGCCACAAGGGCAGAGTGCTGACCCCACAGGTATGCTGGGGTCTGTGCGGGAAAGCCCAGGCCCTCTGCGGTTGGCACCTCTAAATGCTGGACAGACAGATGGTAGGGTAGATGGGGGGGTTGGCAGGTGGGCAAGTGGACAGGTGGGTGATCAAGGAGGAAGTGAGAGAGTGGGTGTACAGAAGGCCCAAGCATGCCTTGGGTTCAGGGGACACCCTGCACCCCCACCTCCTGCCATCAGTCCTCCCCAGGGGCCATCAGCCAGGCACAATACCTCCTATTCCAGGCCCCCAGCAATGTCACATCAGTGCCTTCTGGGGCCAGCGTCTCCAGGCCATGGGAGTCTCACACATGTGCTCGAGGGGGCTGCTGGGCCATCCAGCAAGACCCTGCTCATACCCGGATTCACTCCAGCGCCCAGGTAGCCCCTTGCCTCTCTTTTTAGGGTCTTAGTTTCTCTCTGTAAAATGAGAGTGTGGTTGGAACAGCGCCTGCCCAGCGGGGTGCCAGGAGGACTCACCTGGCCGCTCCCACATAGAGAACGAGCAAGCGATGGCTCCGCCGCCTCCAGACTGAGTCCTGGCAAGGTCAAAGGGCCCAGGACCGTGGCCTGGGACAGCCCAGTCACTACGTGGCCAAGGCGTGGCCAGGCCTTAGTGGAGTGGGGCCCAGGGCAGGGCAGCTGTGGCCCCGGCTGACGAAATCCAGGGCAGCCTCGATTCCTGCCGCTGGTGGCATGCACCCCTGCCGGGGCCCTTGTCTACCCGCTGCAGCCCCCGGGCACACAGCCAGGCGGGAGCCGGCAAGAAGGCCAGGGCAGTAGCTCCCGCTGTGTTCAGTGGTTTGAGCAGCACAGGCTCGGGCCACTCAGAGGCGGGCTCTGCACACACATGTCACAGACACACTTCTGTGTGCATCAGCTGGGGCCCACACACCCACCTGAGACGCATTCAGGGCCTCATGGGGCCCCAGAGCTCCTTGCACACTCATGACTATTTGTGTTTCGGGCCTGTTTCCACCTGCCAAGGTGCGTCTGGGTCCGGGAGCCCTGCCTTCATCCTTTGCCCTCTGAGACTGACACCATGAGTTGGAAATGAAGCATCTTTAATTGGTTCCCTGCCCTGACCCCCCTGGGTAGGGGGTCTCCAAGCACCAAACATGTGAGAATTGTGCCCCCCAGCCCCAGAGCCAAGAAGCCCCTGCCCCAGACCTTCACTGGGCCCGGAGCCCCCACTCACGCCCATGACCAGCCTCACAGGCTTTGTTTCAATAAATAACCCCAAGAGCAAAGCTTGGGGCAGAGGACCCAATAAAGAACCCAGTTCAGCGACATGCAGAGAGGGCTCAGGCCAAAGGCCAGAAATGCCAAGGGGCAGAAGATCTGAAATCAGGGTCGAAAGACACATGCAATCAGGGCAGGCACGTGAGCTGGGAGCGATTCCCTCTGGGCCTCAGCCGGACGCCTGCCCGATGGCCTCTCAGGACGCTGGCTCCCACAGTCAGGGCAAACTCCATTTCATGTCACACCTGGCGTTTCCACCATCGGACTTGACTCTGAATTCTGGGCAGGGGGCAAAGGGGGCCCAGAAACCTGGGGAGGGAGCGTCTGGAGAAGGGGATAAGACTTCTGGGGACCGAGGAGCCCAGAGCAAGGCAGAGGAGTGAAGCTGGGGCCCAGGTCACTGCCGGGCCCTGCCCCGGCGGGTGCGGAGTGGACCCGTGGTTCGGGCTTGTGCCCGGGCCACCTCACCCATCTCCCTGCGGATATCATCAAGCGCTACCGCCGGGGACTCCAGCAGCCTCTGGAAGAGGCTGGGCCGGCCAGCCAGTGGCTCCTGGCACTGGAAAGTGACGGCGGTGCCAGCCTCAGCCTTCATCTCCCTAGAGAAGCCATCGGAGGAGCCATCAAAGCAGCGGCCAATGGCGATCTCTTTGGCCAGCCTTGGGCTCTGGTCAGTGACTGTGTAGACACCGTAGTTGTGACCCAGAGGGTCCAATGGGGCCAGCATGGAAAAGGCAGCAGGGTCATCGGCCGGCGCTAGCGGTGGGTGCCGGGCCAAGTAATCCTGCAGGAGCCCGTTGACAGCCACGCGACGGCAGCTGCCCTGGGGCATGATGGTCACCAGTGTTCTGTCCACCTGTCGCTGGTCGAACAGCATCCCACTGCACTTGAACTCCACACAGGCAGCCGACATGCCAGAGCGCTCCGGGTCCCGGACGCTGCGGGCATCCCGGAGCCCATAGAGCTGGCCCTGGGTGCGAGGGTGGCTGCCCCCAGCATTGTGGGAGCGGACCATGTACTCCTGGGGACCCTGGATCTTCACCTTGAGGAAACAGGCCCGGAACTCCTGTGGGTTGGGCCACCAGGACAGGAGATCCCCGGTCCAGGAGGCCGGCACCCCCTCGCGGAATGGGACCACGTTGTACTCGTATCTGTCCGCCTCCACGCGCGCGAAGCGGAAGTGGCTGGCCGTCACCGGGGCCGCCTGGCACTCCCGCAGGCTGCGCCACGGGTACACGGGGCCGTTGGCCTCAGTGGATTCGCCAGGCCTGGGTTTGGCCAGATTGATGCGGAAGCCGTTTCGTTTGAGGGCGGGGTCGTCGTGGTCGGTGCGGCGGTAACCCAGCCTGTCCAGGTAGGGCTGGGCCACCCCCACAGTGGCCGGGAGCGGGCGGGGTCGGGAAGGTGCGGGCTCCAGCTCCTCCCCGCCCAGGGTGGCCGTGACCAGGGCCGTGTAGGCGTCGGGCGAGTCACTGTCGCAGAAGGCAGGGAGGCAGGCGCCATTGGGGCCGGTGACGGCGCTGTCGAAGCGGCCCCAGGCCCGAGGGTTGGCCGAGAAGCCGGGGGCGGGCTCCAGGTTGACCAGCGTGACCACCACGCCCTCCACCTGCTCGTTGGGGTTGAATTTGTCGTTGGCGTAGGCGCGCACCTTCACGAAGCAGCGGCGGCGCTCCGGCACGTCCAGGTTGAACAGACGCCGCTCCCGGATTTCCACGTTGCCCACCAGGAAGACCCGCTCCTCCCGGCGGACCCGAGTGGCCGCTGACCCCTGGCGCTGGAAGCCACTCTCCTCCTCCCACAAGCCCGTGTTGGGGTTCAGGGACCACAACTTGAGGGCCTCCACGTGCCCCGCCATGTGGATCTGGCCTGCAGCCACGCGCACGGCCACGGGCCCCGCCTGCAGCTGCTCCGCAGAGCCGGCGGCGCGGAGGTCCACCGCGAACATTCCGTAGGTGCGCAGCGGCGCCAGCTCACCGTCGCTGTCCACGAAGCGCAGGTCACTGGGGGCGGCAGTGGCAGAGGTGAGATCTCGGGGGTCCACGAATGTCACCCGGGCCTCCACAGCCCCCGAGTAGGGTTCACCATTGGCTCTGCGGAAGGCTCCCGGCAGAAGGACCAGCTCGCCCAAGGGGGCCTGGTCTTCCAGCTCCCCGAGTGGGATCGTGTTGCTCTGGGTGGCATCTAAGATGACTGGGGCTTTCTTTCGCATGGCCTTGACCTCGTGGTACACACCAGCACCTCGAGGATCAAAAGGCAGGATCCTGATAGTGTCCATGAACTCGCCCCTGGGGTCCATGAAAGTCACCACCAGCCGCTGGGTGGAGGGTGGCACCTCGATAGTGAAGTCACCCTGGTAGGATGTGAATCCTATGGGCTCCTGGCCCAGCAGGATTTGGGCGAAGTGCAGGGGCTCCCCAGAGTCAGCAGCCACCACACGTCCCCGGACCAGCCCCCGAGGGGGCAGGCATTTCTGGCAGCCACACTCAGCTACCACCTTGACCGGGAGGATGTAGCTGGAGCAGTGGATCTCCTTGCTCTCCAGGCGGCGCACAGAGCAGCAGCGGGAGCCCACATCCCCACATCGAGGGCTTGACCCTGCACGGCTGGGGCAGAGGGTGTTGGGGCAGAGGCCCACGTCCAGGTAGGCAGGGCTGCTGCCTGGCTGACTGCAGTCGTCTGGGAGTTTAATCAGGTGCTCATGAGGCCTGGGGTCGCAGGCAGGCTGGCCTGGGTCTGGGGAGCAAGAAATCAGCCGGATCAGGGTAAAGGGGAGGGCTCCACTGAGCCCAAGGTTGGGGGCCTGGACTGGGGTCAAGGGTTCAACCCAGAGGCTCAGTGGGGCCTTGGATCAGACTCAGTGAGGTCAGAGGTCAGTCTGAAATTGGGGCTCCGTTTGGGGTTGAGTTTTAGCTAAAGTCGGGACTTAGTTCGGTGGCAGGGCTTGCTCAGGGTTAGGGGGCCGAGGATGCTCACCAAGCACAGTGAGCTGGGCAGTGCCCGAGCGCACGGCGCCCGCGTCATTCCACGCTTTGCAGTGGTAGGTGCCTGCTTGGTCCGGGCGCAGCCCCCGCAGCTCCAGATGGGCCCCGTACCTGTGTGTTCGCCTGTCCAGCAAGGTCCCATTGTGGAACCTGCATGGTGGAGGAGCAACACTATGGGTACCCTTGGCACAGGGGGGGAACTGCACCCGCCCCCACCCCACACACAGCCCCAGGAGTTTGCAGAGCAGCTTCCTTCAGGTCTCTGAGGCACCACATATCACGGGAATCCAGTCCATGCCCAGAGCTGGGCGCGAGGCCCGTGAGCACGGGGTGGGCACTCACCAGGAGTATTTCTTGGGCATGGGGGTGCCGGAGGCTTTGCAGCAGAAGGTCACGTTCTGGCCAGCCTCTCGCACTCGGGACTCAGGGTGCTTCACCAGGTAGGGCTTCTCTGGGGACAAAGTTGGCAAAGGTCAGGGCCCTGCCCCATCCCAGCTTCTCCCAATGACCCTTCCCAAGAGTAGGGCCCATCCTTTCCCTTCCAGAGATGATCTATTTCACCTGTGCCTCTTCTGATGACCCTCTCCCCTTCGAGTTCACCCCATATCTGCTCCAGATGGTGCCCCATCTTAACACTTCCCTCTGCAACTCCATGTCTCACCTTGCGCCTTCTCCAGTGACTGTCTCACATCTTATTTCTTCTCCCAATGACCTCACTCTGCATCACCTCATCCCAAGTGATTGGTGTCACCCAGAATTTCCTCCTCAGTTTCTCAGCCCCCCTCATCCTCCTTGTCATGAGGCTCTTACCCAACTTATTAAGGACAACAGTGACCACGGCAGATATGGAGCCATTGGCTTGGGCCTGGGCCATGCCTGCAGAGAAGCCATCCATTTGAGCACTGACATTGGCCCGGCTGCTGGCACAGACTCCAGGCATCCGGAAGGTTCCATGGGCATCGCTGGTGGCCACAGTGCCAGGCCAGTCTCGCAGGAAGACCCTGGCTCCTGGCAGTGGTCGGCCAGATGGGGTGACCACTGAGCCCAGGAGGATGTGGTCAGGGCACCCACACGTTTTGGAGCTGCACCCTGGGAGGAGGAACACAGGGAGACAGAGGAGCAGAGAAGCTTCTTCACTCCCTCCTGGGGAGGGCTTTCCACTCTGTCAGTCACTCAGCAAAGGTACCTAGACACCCCCACTCTTGTGTCCCTCAGCATGACACGGCTTGGAGCAGCCCCTAGTGTGAGGGGGACATGAGACTCAGTGGTCAGGGCTGGGCTAAGGGGAGGGACCTGGGGCAGAAGGGTGAGGAAAATGCCCTGGAGGAGGGGACAGGAGAGGTGACTCTCTCAAGGCAGAGAGACTCCTCCCAGCATGAGAGAAAATGTCCAGGCGTGGGCTGGGGGCCCAGCGGGGGACTGGGTCTTGGGCCCAGAACATCTCCCTCCCCTCCCAATCCCGCGGTTTCTCCATAAAATGGAAAATTCCACTGGAAACTTCAGGGCAGAGGCGCCGGAGGGCAAAGCCAGGCGGGGCAGGGTGGGGATCCCACCACCCCATTGGCCACTGTGCTCCCCCACCCTGCTGCCGGCTCTGCCGGCCCGGTCTCCAGACCGTGTTTGTGGAGCCCAGGCCGGATCGGAATTTCCAGTCGCCTCCTGGCTGGCCTGATGTCTGGCCCTGGGAGGGCCTGGGCATCGTGTCTGCCAGGGTGTGAGCGCGTGTCCGCGTGGGCGTAGGGGACGGGCGGGGCTGCGAATGCCACGCGTGTGTGCACCCCGAGTGAGCGTGAGCAGGCTTCTTTGTGTCCGCGTCCACCGGGACATCCACATACTCGGCCGTACACACAGAGGAAGTGCCCCCCTCAGATCTGCCCGTTCCTGGACAGGACCCCTGTGGCGTCTTCCCAGCCAGATGTACACGTTCACCAATGCTCCTCCGGGGGCCCAGAAGGGAAGGGCCAGTCTCCATGTGGACCAAGTTCAGGCTTTCCAGGCCCCGGCCCTGCACCCAAAGCTGGGCCACTTCCCGCCAAGTCCCGCCCCGTCAGCATCCACCTCAACTAGCCCCTCCCCTTTAGGGACGTCCCTCAACAGGCCCCTCCCCTCCACATCCAGGCCCCGCCTCTACCCAACCCTCTCCTTCAGGCTCCGCCCCTCCTACCTGGGCACGGAGGCCGCACACACTTCTGCGCCTCCTGGGGACGCCCGGGACACGCGTCCCCAGCCGGGATTGAGCAGCGGCGGCGGCGCAGACGACGGCCTGGCCCGCAGCTCCCTGAACAGGGACCCCACGGGCCCCACGAGCCCCACGCAGCCTCTGCGGGAAGGACAGAGAGGGAGGGTCAGGCGGCCGCCCACCCTGGGGACTGCGCCTCCTGGAAATCGGGTGACAGTGCAAGACTGAAGGACGCCCCCCGCCACGTGCCTCCGAGGGCAGGTACTCCAGAGAGAAGTCCTGCCCACTGCCGCCATCAGTGTTCCCCCAGGCGCACCTGTCGAAGGGGCAGCTGAGGTCCCGCCCCGCCCCTCAGATAAGCTCCCGAGGTTAGCCCTGCTGTTTTCCCCGCGCCTCGCAAATATTTGGGGCTCAAAACACGCCCCCACAGAACAGAGCTGTTACAGATGAGCAAACGAGGGCAGCGAGAGGGAGCTGCGCTCCTGGGGATCCCTGCCAGCCCCTCCCTTCCAAAGTCCCACCCCAATCCGGTCCTGCCCACTCCCCAGCATCACTTATCTCGGTCCCGCCCTTTCCGTAGCCCCGCCCACCAACAAGGCCCCCGCCCCCATGGCCCCGCCCTCACCGAGCGGGCAGCGGAAGCGCACATGGTAGTTGGAGCAGCGGCGGCCGCGCGGCTGCTCGCGGTTGAGGCACCAAAAACCGCGCGTGGGGTTCAAGTGCACGCGCTCGCCGACGGCAGACGGCAGGGCCCAGTCGGTGGTGCGTGCCTCCAGTGCCAAAGGCCGCGGGCACACGCGCGCCGGCCCGTAATAGAAGCGAATGGCGGCCAGGCTCTCGAAGTCTCCGTCGCCGCCGGGATGGTCCACGTTGAACCAGGACGTCCACTCGCTGGCCTCTGTGGGCACCGCACGCGCTGGGACCCGGGCCGCAGCCTGCCGGGCCCCATCAGTGCATGCAGGGGCCCGGGCTGTGGCCTGCCCACCCCTGTCTGCCTGGTAAGGGCCTTACCCGCTGTCTAAGCCGGGTCCCTCCGCCCTCCAGGAGCACAGGGTAGCTCAGCCTGCCCACGACCCCTCCCAGAACCAGAGCCCTCTAGGGCAGAAGGAGCTGTAAAGAGGTCACGGGAACGTTGGCCTCCCCTTGCACCAGTCCTAGTTCTGCTGCCCAGTGCCGGAGCTGGCGCATCAGTGCACGCTGAGGTCTCCCCAGCCCCCGGCCTCAGAATTCAGAACCCCTGAGGTGTGAAGAGATACAAAGGCAGCAGGAGGAGCCTGAGACCAGCCCTAGCTGTGGCTTTCTGCTGCCTGGCTGCTCCCCGTTAGCACCAGCTGGGACCTTGCTCTCTGCTCGCTGAACCCACAGGGCAACCTCTGTTTCACTGAAGCCACAGGTGGGAAGAAAGCCTCCCACAGGTCAACTCCTGCTTCCATCTACCCAGGAAAGGAGGTGCTCACTCCCTTCCTGACTCAAGAGCAACCTTCCTAGCCGGGAAACTAGAGACCCAGGTTCCAGAACTCCTGCTTCCCTGACTGACCTGGGCAGGTTGTCCCACCCACCCCGCCCCACCTCGGTTTCCTCCTTGACAAACAGCCTGGATGCTCACCTCCCAGCTCCTAAAACTTAGACCTCTTGGGGCACCATTTGAGGGGCTGCCATGTCCAGGGACTCTGTCTCTTCAGCCAGTTTACGTCCTCTCCTCATGTGGCCCCACGAGCCAGAGCTCACACGGCAAGTCCATGGCAGACCCAGGACCTGAACCCAGGCTGACTCACCTTCCCAGTCCTCCAGCGCTGCTGAGGGCTGGCCAGGGCGCAACGATGGACCCTCAAGGCCCCATGCAATTTCTGTGGGCTCCTCAGTGGAAATGGTGCCTGTGGAAGGGGTGAGGAGTGAGGGGAGGGACATGTGCTGATAGGGACCACTTTGCGCCCCTTTTATGCAAGGGGCTGCCAGGATCATCCCCATGTCACAGGGGAGAAAACAGCCTCTTAGAAGCCAGAACCCAGCTCTGGCTGATCCCAAGGACTGCAGCACCCCCTCCTCCAGGAAGCCTCCCCATGGCTTTCCTCCGTCCTCAGTCTCTGGCAGCCCCATCCCTCCCTCTGACCCAGCCCCAACTCCCTGGGCTGGGGAAGTCTGTGTCCGCTCTGCTCCCCCAGATCCACTTCTCTCCCTGGGTGTGTTCAGCGGCCATGAGTTCTGTGGGCTGTGCCTTTGTCCTCACGTTGAGCTGCATTCCGCTTCATCCATTTACCAACTGGAATTCCCTCCCTCAGTCTACCTTCCATTCGTGCACTTGGGGCCCAAGCTGCCAATGGGAAGTCCTTGGAATCTAGCCTGGCTGCTCTAGGCTCGAGTTATTTGAGATAGCTGGACTGGGCAATGACCTCAGACAGGTCCCTTCCGTCTCAGAGCCTCAGTCTCCTCATGTGAGAAATGGGCCCAGCCTCCCCCCACCCCCCTACCCCCGCTCCCCTGCCGATTGTTCCAGAGATGGGAATTTCTTTTCTGAGTGGTGTGTGTGTGGAAGAGGGGACGAGTTAGGTGAGAGGGGACGGCTCTGACCCCTTCATCCCGGAGCCAGGACCAGGTGCTTTGGGGTCCAAACACTGGGGCTGAGACCGGCGCCCAGCGTTCCCCGGGAACCCAGAGGAGCCTGAAGTTCAGATCCACTCTGGGTGCGCCTATCGTCTCTCCGAGGATGGCAGGGAGCAGAGGAGGACCCCTCCCCGCCCTAGTTGGTTCCAAGGCTCCGTCTCCTCGTCGCCCCCTCCCTCAACCCCGGGCTGGCGAAGTGGACCCAGGTCTAGGGAAGCGAGTGGGTCCCTTGGCTGTCTCTCCAGGCGTGGCTGCATGCCAGGCTCGCTGCCAGAGGGTGGGGCGCTTAGGGGGCTGGGCTGGGCTGGGGGCTGGGGGCGCCTCACCTCGGGTCCCCGCCAGGTGCGCGGCAGCGACACAGAGGCAGAGTAGTGGCGGCAGCGACGCCATGGCTGGGTCTGAGCGTCCGAGGAAGGGTCTAGGCTCTGCGGCGCGCTCGGGTCTGACTCCTGCAGGTCTGGCTGCCGCTGGGGCTGAGAGTGGGGGCGAACGCGACCGCAGGCCCCGCCCCGTCCAGGCCCCGCCCCGTCCAAGAGACCCTCCTCGGCCCTGGGTGACTTCGGTGTGCGAGCAACCTCTCTGGGTCGCCCCCCTCGGTGAGTCTGGCTGTGCCTCCGCCCTCAGGCTGGCTGGCCTGCTTCCCCCGTCGCCGGCTGGAAGTCCCTCCCTCAGCCCACCCTCCACTCTCCACGTTGGGTCCCAAGCTGCCTGCGGGAGGTGCCTCTTGGAATCGAGCCTGAAGCTGCCCCAATCTTCGCGCTTTAGGCGGCCCTTTGGGCGGCTCGAAGTCTTCCATCGAGTCTGACTTCGATCCAGTTGGTTTTAGGCCCCCCCTACCCCGAGCAGGCTGGAAGTCCCACCCTGAATCTACCTACCCACCACTCTTCTGGCTCCAGTTTTCTCGGAGGCCAGCGGGAAGTCCCACCCTGTGTCTACCCTCTAGCTCTCCCGCCTTGGGCCGCCGGGGGCCGGTGGGAAGGACCCCCCACCCCGAGTTTGCGCGCCCAGCGCGGGCCCGGCGCACAGAGGACGCGGAGGCGAGGTGGCGGCGGACGGCTGTTTATTGGCGCGGGTCCGGCCGCGGGGGCGCGGGCTCAGAGCGCCGCCACGCAGTCGGTGCCGGTGTAGCCCGGCAGGCGCAGCGCGAACTTGCGGCGCACGTCGTCGGGCACGAACCTGCCGGCCACGAAGTGGTGGCGCCCGGAGAAGCGGCCGGCGCAGCGCTTGGGCGCCGCCAGCAACACCAGCACGTCCGGCCGCAGCCCGTCCTCGGCGTCGCCGCCGGTCTCCGCGTCCCAGCCTGAGGGAGGAGGGGGAGGCGGATCGGGAGCTGGGAGGGGTGCTTGCCCTGGGATGAGAGTCCTGCCGCGCCACCACCCACTTCCCTCTTCCCCCCGTCAGACGCAGCCTCTGCTTTCTGCAAGGGAGTCTTGGTCATACCTGCCTCCCCATAGAACTGAGCCTCCGCCCTCAGACCAGTCTCTCCCCCTCCTTGGAAGGCATTTCGCTCTCCCTCTGACCACAGCCTCTACCCTCATACTTTTCTTACCGTGCTCCCATCCTGCTGCCTAATCTTCCTCCTCCGTCTGACTCAGTCTCTGCCTTCAGATTACATCATTTCCACCTGCTGCCCTTTCCCAGTCAGACCTATGCCTCTGCCTTCTGACCAGCGGCCTGTCCCCATATCCGCTTCCTGACCAACCCCGAGCTTCCCCACTTAGACTAGCACCTATTCTCACCCAGACTCCCCAGCCAGCCTTCTCCCCGACCCCCGGACCAGATCCCCACTCTCCACTCAGAGGACAGACTTGCCTCCATCCTCAGGCAAGCCTCCCCCATCAGACTTGTCTCTTTGCCCCAGGTTCTTGCCTCTGATGGGATGTGCCCCTTCTTCACTCAATTTGAGCATCTGTCCATCCTCCTGTGTCTAGAGCCTTTTCCCTGTGACCTGACATCCCTGCCCTCACCCTCAGACTAGATCTTGCCTTTTGACTTAGCAGGACCCCACCCCCTCCCTCATTGGGCCATAGCCTCTGCCACCTCTCAGATGAGCCTCCTCCTTCAGACCAGGGGCCTTGCCTTCTGTCCTGCCTCTGGCCCGAGTCTGGGGCCACTAACTAAAAGCCTCCACCCTCTGACTTTAATCCTTCCTTCCATTACCCTAGCTTCCACCCTCAGACCAGACAGCCCACCTCCTCATAGCCAACCCCTCTGCTCTGCAGCACCCTACTGGGATGGCCCTGGGGTCTTGCAAGCTGAAGGACATCCCCCTGAGTCTGGCCACCCCCGTGGAGGGTCCGGCTGGCCAGCGGCTGTTTGTTCCGTCTGCCCGTTGCCTAATGGTTCCAGCAGGCATGGGGCGGCAGCCAGGACAGGCGAGGCTTTTGCCGAGTGAGCTCACGTCTGCCCAGGCGACTGGGCCAGGGTGGGCAGCGGGCACACTGGGCTGGGTGTGGGGGGGAGGGAACTCGGGGTCACCTGGGCAGCAGCCTCAGTCTTCCTCATCTGAGGGATGGACGTGACCCTCAGCCTCACCCAGAGTGCACGAGCCATCCACACTGGGGCAAGTGAGGCTCAGAGTGGGCAGGGCTACCGGAAGACAGAGTACGGGGGCCCCCACCCAAGCCCCCCAGGCCCCGATGTGCCCCCTCCACCTGGCATGCCTGAGGGAATGTCCAGGCTCACGAGGGGGATGGACAACAGCTTGAGTGTGGCCAGCGCACGCGTGCAGGGGCCCCCGACCTCGCCCGGCTCCACACCGGGGCCAAGCACGGCGTCCACCACCAGCCCGTAGGCATTGTTGATGAGCTGTACCTGGGATGGCAGGCAGGGTCAGGGGGCAGCCTTAGGGCACCGTCCCCCACCTCCCATCCCAGTTGCCACGGAACGCTGACCTCCGTGGGCAGATAAGACAGGAAGGGGATGTCCATCTTCTCACACTGGGTAGTCAGGTCCCGGTGCAGCGGGTCCAGGGAGCGTGTAGGGTAGAAGATGGTCGGTTCGTACTCCTGCGGGGGTGGGCAGGAAGGAGTCTGCACTGGGAACCCTCCCAGGCTCCCCTTGGGGCCTAGACCTCAGACCTGGGTACCAGGTAGCAGACCCTGCCTGGGGCAAACAGTGGGGATATCCTGTAACCTTTCCAGCCTCAATGTTCCCCGGGACACTATCAAGAGGAGGAAGCAATTCTGGGACGGGGTCAGGGGTGACCCTGGGAGGCGAAGGGCATGCATGCTACTCACAAACACCCGCAGGTGCCGGGCACAGACCAGCCCCACTGCACCGTTCTGCTCCGGGCCGCACACAACCAGCACCATCCTCTGCTTCCGAGAGAGAGCAGGCAAGGGGAACACCTAGCAGGAGGCAGAACAAAGTCAAAGGCACAGGGCTCAGAATTCTTTCTTGCTCCAGTGGGGAAACTGAGCCCTGGAGTAGAGGAAGGGTTGGGACTTGGGCCTGGGAGGCAAGAGGATAGGACAGAAACAGAGGCATCCTAGGCGGGGTTCTGGGTGAGGGGTGGGGCCTCTTGGGGCCTCAGTTTCCTCATTGGAGATGCAGAGTCCTTGCCTCAGGCTCTGCCAAGCCTGACCAGGAAAACGTGCCTCCTGCCACCGCCTGGCGCCCAGACTGTGGTTTGTTTATTCTCGGCCCAAATTGCAGACATTCTTCCACCTTTTTCCACCGCAGTGGCTGCCCCTCCCCCGCCCATGTTTCCAGGACTCAGTCCCTCCTGGAGGCCCCAAATTGGCGGGGGGAAGGAAGGGAGGAGGGTACTTTTCCAACCTGCCATACCTTGTCTCTCCATCTCTCAGCCGTCCCTTTCCATCTAGTCTCTCTCTGTCTTCGTCTCTGTTTTTCTCTTTGTCAGTCTCTCTCTCTCAGACTCTCTGTGTCTCTGTGGGCCTGTGTGTCTCTCTTTAACACAGGAGGTAAGAGTCCCGGTGTTCCAGACCCAGCCCTGCCCTGACTCTGCGTCGCCTCGGCCCCCTCTCCTCTCCCAGCCTCAATTTTGCCTCCATCAAATGGGAGTTACAATGGCTGCCAGGCATGTGAGGTGGCTGGGGGGGCAGGGGGGTGTGCAGGGGGGCCCAGCCAGGTTCTAACTTCCAACTACACAGAGGGGAAGTTATTCCCTTTTTTGAGTCTCCACTCCAAGGTCTCAGCGAGGCCCTGCCCAACCCTGATGATGCCTGTGCCCCCACCACACCAGGCCCAGAGCCGAGTCCCACACGCAAGTGAGGGAGAGTGATAGCGTCTGGGTGGCTGGGACCGAGGGGCTCCTGGACGGAAGCAGGGTTTTCAGGGCAAAAACCGGACAGTTGGTCACGAAGGGTCAGGCGGGAGTTTAACTGGAGTCAATTTATAACCCTTTCTTGAGAGGATGAAACTGAGGCCCTGCATGGTATGGCAACATGGCTGGAAACCCTGGATAGCATGAGTCTCTTGGAGGTCCCTCGAGGGCTGCAGGTTTGCCCCAAAGCTGGATACAGCTCTGCTTCCCACCCCCTGGGGCCCTGGGCAGCCCCTCCCAGCCTCTGGGCCTCAATTTCCCCACCTGTGGCACAGGGTCGTTTGGGGGGTGCTCAGACTGTGGGAGCTGATGTCCCCTGTGCCTGAGACTCAGGAGGTGGCAGACACAAGCAGTCAAGTCTGCACCTCAAGGGCCCCAGACCTGTCCCTGCGATGGCTCAGTCTCTGCTCCCCAGCCTCACATCTCTGGGGACCCTGTCTCTGCCCTGATGCTCAATGTCACCCTGGCCTGTCCCATTGATGATCCTCTCTGGGCCTCAGTTTCCCCATCTGAGTGATGCGCTGAGGTGGCCCCAAGCAAAGAGGGTTCCTGAGGACAAGCCCATCCTAGCCATGGTGGTCATGCAGCTAGCCTTGGCTCTGGTAGGCTGGCCATCTTATTGGGGTCAAGGTTGAGGGTGAGAAGTCAGGTACCTTGGTCACAGCCACGGCACTAGCATGGCCGCACAACTCCACCAGCTGCTGCCGCCCAAAGCGATAATCCTCCAGCAGCTCCCGCTCCAGAGCAGCCGCCTCCGCGGCGCTGGGGGACAGAGTGGGGAGAGAACCTCAGAGACACAGAGAGATGGAGAAAGGACCTAGAGACAGAGACTCAGATGGAGCCAGAAATGTTCCACCGAGGTTCCGAGCCACCCTCGTGCAGCTTCCGCAGCCCAGAGCCGGGGATCCTCCCTCAGTTTCCCCACTCAACGCGCACGCGGTTGAACAGAAGCCTAAGCAGCGGGCGGTTTGAGCCAAAACCTGAGGTACGGGCGCCCTCTGGTGGTCGAAGAAGCGCGTGGCGGCGCATGTTGGTTCTATTGCCCCAAAGCGTGGGAGACAGAGCGTGACACTGACGCCCCCAGCCGGGAAGGCGGGAGGAACCCAGAAAGCGGAATGCAGCGTGAAGGACTTTGATGGGCGCGATGGACGGATTTCAGGAAATGGAAACCATTGAGCGAGCTTCAGGACGCTGGAGTGGGTAGACTGGACGAAGGGTGGCTGGGGAAGTGGGTTTTGAAGGTTGCAGAGGGGATTGATGGCTCACTTAGGAGGGTGGATGTGGGGCCCACAGCTCTGAGATCCATTGGTGACCCTTCTTCAAGGACAGTTATAGTTGTGGCCTCTGCTTGAGGTAAAGCTCTGCCACCAACTCGCTGAGTTACTGGGTCTATCTCATCTCTCTGAACCTTGCTTCCTCCTTTGCAAAGTGAAGGCAGGACAGGTTATATGATTTGCCAGGCCCAGTGCAAAATGAAAATGTGGGGCCCCTTGTTCAAAAATTATTAAGAATTTTAAGGTAGTGACAGCAGATTAAACCAAGTGTTGGGCCCTTCTAAGTGCCAAGACCAAGCTGGCCCTGGCCTAGATGGCTTCCAAAGGGCACCGGCTTGGTGGCTGCAGAGAGGGAGAGCTGGCATTGAGGATCAGAAGATGCTCCTCACCCAAGTCAGGGGTTGGGGCAGCTGGGCAGGGTCTAAGACCTGATGCCAGCTTCTCCTAGGCAGGACCCCTTCCTGCTGGGGAACAGCACCTGCCCCTAGCTCAGCAGACTCTAGAGAGTGTAACAATGATGATTATGATAGAACCTGGCCCAGAGGAGTTGGAAGAACACCCAACAGCTCAGAGAAGCTAAGTTGCTTGCCCAGGGTCATGCAGGAAGCAAGTGGGAAAACCAGGACTTCCACCCTTGGTGTCCATCTCCAGAGCCACAGCATGTGACCAGAGAAGGAGAAGCAGAGATTTGGTGGGATGAATCCTGAGGTTCCCTTCCTCAATTCTGTGAGCAGGAGACCACAACTTTCCAGCCAATTTTGCAGCATGATCAGGCCAGGCAGCAGGAGGAACAGAGATGGGGTGTGAGGACTGCTGTGGGATAGGGGGTCGGGGAGGGCTTCCTGGAGGAGGAGGTCTAGAGCACTGTGGGAGGTAATCCAGGTTGCAATAACAGTGAGGGCCAAGGCCCTGTGGTGGGAATGAGTTTGGCAGGCTCAAGGGACAGAAGAGAGGTTGGTGTGGCTGAAGCAGAGCAAGCAAGACTGAGAAACTGGGTCAGGAAGACACTTTGGGGGCCCATGCAGATGGGGGAGATGGAGGCTTAGGACAGGGCGGCCACATGCCCTGAGTCACCTCAGCAACCAGAGCCAGATTCCACTCTGGGCTTTTCTTCCACCTACGTTGGAAGAGGCTGAAGGACCAGGTGGGGGAAAGGAGCTCACGGTGGAATCAGATGAAGACCGCCCCCAGGGCAGCCCGGCCCACCTCCCAGGAAAGAAGGTTGGAGAAGGTGCACGTTCAGGAATGTGGCTCATTCCTCCACCTTCATCTTGTGACAGCTCTGGCTGCTGCCCCCACACGAGGGAGGGAGGAGAGTGGGAGAGTATCCATTCCTCCTGTTCTTCCTCTGTCCCAAAGGTTTGGCCTTTGAAACATCATCTTCTTGCCTAAGTGGTCATTAGAGTGGTAATGGGGACTCGTGGCTAGAAGGTGGTCCAGGCTTGGAGCCTGGGGGTGGGGGCAGCAGGAAATTTGAGCTGGTGGGGGAGGGAGACTCAGGCAGTTGTGAGACTGGGGGTGAGGGGCTCAGTTATGAGGGTGCCTCTTGCTTCTCCCAATCTCAGCCCCCAGACGAGAGGGGCTTCAAGGCCCAAGGATTTGGCCGCCAGCCCCAGAAGGGCTGAGGTGATCTGGTTTCAAAGGGAACTGGGACTGACACTCCCAGAATGCTTCTGGGAGGGGGCAAGGAGGGCCCTAAGTAGGGGAGGGGCTCTTTTGGAGGTGAAGCCCTGAGGGCAGGGTGCCTGTGCCAGACCCTCCCTGCTCTCTCAGCTCCCTCTGCTTTTCTCCACCCTCACGCCTCTGCCCACCAGCCTGCCATCACTGTTCACCTGGCTGCCTACAGCAGTTTCATGCCCCCCAAACTCCTCGACACGCGACATGGGGGCTTTGAAAACTTGAACACGAGATCACATCACTCCCCATCCCAAAGCTTCTTATGGCTCCCCAGCCCTCAGAGAATATTCACATTCCTCATCCCGCCTCCATGCCCCCCATCATGTCTCCAGCCTCGCTGCCTCCTCTCCCCTTGCTCGCTGTGTTCCCCTCCTACCCACCTGACAGCACCCCTTCATTCCTCAGTTGCCATTTGAGGCCCCACACAACTGGCCTTGCTGTCCCCCACGCCAGGTGAAGTCACAGTTCCAGCTTCTAAAACATTCTTCTCCCCCTGCCTAGGATGTTGCTGGGTCTCCAGGCTGAGTCTGGGCATCAGCTAGTCACTGGACATACTGCCCTGAGAATGGGGGCTGAGTGGACAGGAGGCAGGTGGTTGCACAAGGGGCTTCTAAATGAATCTGTGTACAGTGAGGTCCACAGCCCTGCTTGGGGTCCCATGTCACACAAGCTTAGAGGACACAGGAGGATGACTCAGGACGAGGTGGGAGACACAGCCACAGCTGCCAGTTCCGACCCCAAATTCATCAGCCCGCTGGCAAGTGGTCCATATGTTCAAAACTTGCCCTAGCGCTGGCTCAGCCAGTGGCTTCCCTCCCCAGGCCTCAGTTTCCTTCTCTGGACAAGGGGATAGTGGCAGGGGGACCACCAAGGGAGGTGTGAATGTTTGAGTCAAGAGTTAAAAGAGCTCAGCTCTTGCCAGATGGGGAAGGAAGGGCGGGTGCTCCAGGGTCCCTGGGAGAGATGGAAAGGGGATGCG